AAAGATGAAGGAGAATTGGGAACGGGGTGGAGGGGATAAGCCCTCTTGATAAAATAATATTTGAGCAGATGTCAGGTGAGTATCAGGAGGTTGAGAATTATTGCAGAGGAAAGAGCCATTGCAAAGCCCCTAGGGTGAGGGTGTATCAGTGTATTCCAGGAACCTGAGACCAGCTTGCTGGAGGAGCCTGCCGAGTGACATAGAGTAACAGTGTTGAGCAGGGGAAATGACCTTGCCTGGTCTCACAGTTCATTACGGGACTTTGCCTTTTACTCTGAGGAAATGAAAATCTAAGGGTTTTGTGCCAAGAAGTGATCTGATCTATGTTTTGAAAGGCTCCCTTTGGCTGCTCTGTTACTAATAGGCTCTAGGGGACCTGGGGTAGAAGCAGAGACCACTGAGGACGTTATTATGGTGAGCCAGAGGAGAGAGTTGGTGCCCYGGGCCACAGGGGCAGAAGTGGTGAAGTCCTGAATATATTTTGAAGATAGAGGCAACAAGATTTGTAGGTGGGTTAGCTACAGGGTGTGAGAAAACAGGAGTGAAGGATGGCACAAGGTTTCTACCTAGGCAACTTCCAGGGTAGAGTTTCCATCCAGGAACAGGACAGGTCTGGGATGGGGGATCAGGAGGTCAGTTTCAGTGAAGTTGAGCTCGGGATGTCCATTAGATGTCCACACGGCGATGCTGAACAGGTGGTCGGGTACCTGAATCTGGAGCTCATCAGAGCAGTGTGGCTGGGGTGTAAGTTTGAAATCATCAGTCACATGAACCACACTTAAAGCAATGGAAAGGAGATGAAATTGCAAAGGGAGTGAGTGTAAWGAGGAATAGAAGTAAAGAAACAGGACTGAAACCTCGGTGTGCACAGTATGATGGCAGCTCTGGCCTCCTTCTTTTTCTTCAAAGTTGGGAACCCATTTTCTCCTCAACCACATTGAAAGGATGTAGAGTCGGCTTTGATTTGGGGGCCATCTGTTTCTCGATGGAGTGATTGTTTTTTTGTTTGTTTGTTTCTTCTAATTCTCTCTTCAGTTGTATGCAATCTAGTATTTATCACATCTATTGAGTTTTTTACTACCTGACTCAAGTTTTTTTCAGTTTTTTTATATAAACTTTATATTAGCTACAACAAACATGCCTACTAGCACAAAATCATAAATCTGTTTTCACAAACTGAATGCACACATGTAAGGGCTAGCATGTTCTTCATTTCTCTTTCAAATTACTTACTACCTTGGCTCCCAAGGCAACCTATTTGTGAATGTTGTATAAATTTTCTTTTTCAATATGCACTCATTTTGTTGGTATGTACCTGGCTTCTTTCTTCCACTCATTCATGTTGTTCCATTTAATTGTTCATTAATCCTCCTTGCTATTGCCTATTCTTTGTATGCTGCGATCTATGTGTCTACTCAACTACACGTGGAAAATTTAGATTGTTTCAAATTTGGGATTGTTACAGTGTGCCTGCACATTTATTTTGGGAAAATATATGAAGACATTTATGCTGAATATATACCTAGAAATAAATTTGGGGGTCAGAAGACAAGTGAATGTTGAGCTCTAGGGTATATCCGTTTTCTGAAGTCGGTAGACCAGTTTACATCCCACAACAGTGTGTGGGATTTACTCAACATCCTCACCACTCCCGATACTGTTGGATTTTTCATTTCAATCATTCTGTGAATGTGTAGTGGTATATCATACATAGCTTTAGTTTGCCTTTAAGGCATGCAATAAAGAGAAGTTCCTGATTTTAATGCAGTTTATGTTACCAAGGGTTATTCTTCATGTTTAGCACTTTGTGGATCCTGTTTCTGAAAAGTCCTTACTAAGTTAAAAGTGCAGTGAACTGATTTGAATTCTTCTGCAAATTTCAAAAATACCTATAATGATTAAGGAGAGTATTTCAGTGTGCTGTAAAGAATTTCAGAGGCTTCCCAAGAGTACAGTTCTCTCATTCCATTTTGGAAGATCTTTTGTTCCTTCCTATCGAACCCAGAAATTCTGTAAAGTATATTTCTTACCCCATTTGTTTTTAATTGCCCTGTCTTCTATTCTCAGAGATAACAGAGCTCATTAGAAGTGAATTCCTCTGAATTGTCCATTCTCCACTCCTAGCTCACAAGATATACCTCGGCCACATTCACCTCTTACTACAGCGGAAGACATTTTAGTCCTCTGTTTCTCTGCCTTTGTTCGGCACCTTTCCCTTTCCTCCTTCAAAAACATTGTTCTTTGATTTACCCTCTTCCTGTATCTTCCTGGCTCTCCTCCTACTTAGTACATAAGACCGTAGGACTTTCCTCCCTTAAAAAACAAAATGTTTGCTCTCTAACTGCTCTTTGTTACCCATCTCTTATCTTTCCCTAAAAAAAAAAAATGCATTACACATGTAAATAAAATTTCATAGAATTAAATAGACCCTTTTTAGATTCCACTGTGTAAGACTGGTGAAATCTAACTCGGGTAGGATGGATTGTTTGAAGTTCAGTTTCTTCGTTGTGATATTTAACTATAGTTATGCAAGTTGTTGCCATAGGGGGAGATTAGGTGAAGGTTATATGGGAATTTTCTGTAGTATTTCTAAAAATTATCTATAACAATAATAATAATAGTAATAATAATAATATTGATTAATATGTGCTTGGTATTATTCTAAGTACCTTCTTGTGGGTACTATTAATTTTTTTTTCATTTTATAAGTAACAAAACATCGACATAGGGAGATTAAGTTACTTACCCGGGGTCACCCAGCTACTAAGTAGCAGAACTAGCATTCAGATCCAGGTAGCTTTACTGCAGAGGTGGCCCTCCTAACCCCCTCTTCTATGCTCCTCAGACCTGCTCCTCAGACCTCTCTTCATATCCTGCATCCTAGCCCCACTCTTAATGCCCTTGTAATCCATCTCAATCACTCCCTTGAAATGGCTTCTGTCTGGATCAGCATCAAGTTGACAAATCTAATGGCCCTATTATTCCCGAGCCTTTCATAGACTTTGTACATTGAGAAGTATTTACTGAGCACATATAATGTCAGGCTGTGTTTCATAGGAGTGAACGAGACAGGCAAAACTGCTGTGGCTGATGAATACATGACTTGACTTGTTACAATTAGAGGGTCAGAAATCTTCAGTTTTTTTTCAACTTAATCACAGTTGACTTGTTTGTGGCCAGTCTCTTGTCCCATACCTTTGTTTTTTTATGGCTAAAACAGATCTTATTATTTTGTGGCTTCACAGTGCAAGAAAATATTGTAATTAGTTACCTACCATATTTTCTTTTTCCTCAAGTAAAATTGTCATGAATAGGAAGAGAACTAAATTCTGAAGTMCTTCTTTTCTTGTGCAATTATTGAAGCTGGATTATGAAAAATCAATCACCTTTGACCTACTTTTTCTGCATGAGAATAATTTGAATTAACTTGATGCCCTCTATTTTGGAAACACTAGGAAGATCTCTGAAAAACATTAAGTAAGTTTCATTCCATATGTCCAAATAAAAAGCTTATCCAAGGAAAATACTTGAGTTCATGGAGACATTGATAGTTTTTTTTTTTTTTTTTTTCTGTATCACCAAAGCTAAGCATGTGAACCAGAGATGAAGGGAAGGAGTCATCTTGTCTCTTGTCTCTTTCCACATGTCCATGGTTATTTTCTGTGTTTTCATTCCTTTCCCCAACCCGTAAAGAGGGGAAAAAAAATTATCTTACATTTCTTCATGCCTAAAAACAGCCTTGTATTAGTTCTACCAGGAGTGCCTTTGGCTTGATGGACTAGAGGCTACTCTAATCCCCTTGCTTACATCCCCAGTTGCTGTTTTGTCTGATAACTGTTTGTTTATAGCAGCAGTCAGCAATTTGCTTGGAGAGTCCTGTCAAAGTCACTGGCCTCCATGAAACCCAAATGCCTCTTGGAAGAAATACAACAGGTTCAGCCCAGCAACTKGCAAAACTTTAAAAGTGATTCCTTGTCAAACACGTGGGAAACAACTCTTCCCTCCCTATAACTTGAGGGAAAAAAATGAGAAACTATCTTACAAYAGATGGTGATTCCTTGCTAGTAAAATCAGCCTGGACTGGTTCAGCCCCATTTCTTTATGTTCCTTTTGCAAAACCCACAAAGAACACATTTGGGGCCACTTTGCAGAGTTGGCAACAGTCTCTGCTTTTTAAGGAAATCATATGGACCCMCMCACACACACAMAAAGCCACAGTCGATGAACGGCTGGGAATCTCCAGGGCTCAAAGCGGGATGCATAGGACTTAACTTCTGGGTGATCAGTTAGAATGTGGCCAGGGCCCAAGAATCATCCCAGTTTCTGCCAGCGTTGGTTGCTTCATTAAATTTGATTCAAACAAAAACAAGTTGGGAAAGTTGATATTTTCCTGTTGATTAGAAAAAGAGAAGGAAGTCGAGGAAGAACTAGAAATGATAAAAATACCCTTCCAGATGATGGGCTGATAAAGCAATCCCTAAAATTCAAATCACTCTAGATCTCAAGAATTCAATCTTTAACTGTGGTGCCTTTTTCTGCCATGTATATATGATGTATTATAGTTCTTTTTCATATACTTTAAAGTTATTTAGAGAGGACTTGGAACGTGTGTGTGTGTGTGTGTGTGTGTGTGTGTATGTGTGTGTGTATATGTTGTTTTAGTAAGTTTAGCTTTTGAAGGGTAAAATAGGTGGCTTAGGACATAATGAATCCCTCTCACTGAAGATATTGAAACAGACTGGTCACCTCCTTGCTAGGGATGCTGTGGAGAACTTAAACACTTGAGTAGTGTGTGCATGAGTTGGCCTTTATAATTTCTTCCTCGCCTAAGATTCTATGCAGCATGAATCACAACGAAGCCCTCTCCACCTGTCCTTCTTTCAATAACCTTGATCTGGCGTGTTTTCAGTGGCTTATGACAATACCTGCTGTCTGTTGAGTTGGTTTCCAGGCAAGGAAACACTGGCCACCTTTGTTGATGTTCTGTTTTATTTCTTTAGGTGTCTGAACACACACAATTAAATTGGATCCTTACCTGCATGGTCAGGCTGCCTCGGTTACAGCATTTACACCAGTGGAAGGTAAATATCAGTGATCTGCTTAAAAATCAGAAAGGAAACCATTTTCCCTTCTGGTTACGTGTGTGTTGGGCCCCGGGAGCCCTGAGTTTGCTTTCCTCTGTGGAATGCAACCCCGGAAGGCTGGGACAGCCTCTTCCACCTCTCTACTCCAGGGCATTAAACAAAATGTGACTTGGGTTCACCAAGATTTCTTCTCATTTAAAAATCTTTTTTTTTTTTTTTTGTCTGTGTTTGGATAGACTTGGTAATGATTTGAAATGTACCACGTTATAATTAACAAATAATCACAGTTTCTGGATTCCTGCTGTTGCCCCCCATCCCCACGGGAATTAACTGGCAGTAAGGAAGAAATGTTTTCACTGTGGGGAGAAGAGACAACATATTTTATTTAACTTTTAAACAAGTTGAGTCCAGGCAACAGTTCAAACCCACAGAAAAAAATTAAGGATATACTTTCACTACGAAGTTTGATGGAGAAAAATAAATTGTATAATTCAAAGTACTTTACTTCCACTTATTTTTTTTTTTTTTTTTGCAATTGGATAACTTGAGGGTAGGTAGCCCCAGTTATGTCAACACGACTTGCAGTTTCAAGCTGGCTTTGAGCATACTTTCAGGGCCATTGGCCTCAAGTGGGTCTTCGGAAGCCTTTGCCTACCGGATAGAAACAGCTTTGTAGTGACCGTGCCTGAAAGCTGTGGTCCAACGTCTGTGTCTCCCCATAGTTCTTGGTGAGTCGGACCCCCACAGGAGAAGCCTTTGAGAGGTGATCAGGTCTCAGGGTAGAGCCTCATGAATGGGATTTAGTGCTCTTAGAGAAGAGGCCCCTGGGAGACCTTTATTCCTTTCCCTCAGGCAAGGACAAGAGAAGGCACCATCACAGAGCCAGGCAGTGGGTCCTGTCTAGACACTGACTTCGCCTTAGCCTTAGCTTCTCTCATGTTCTATATTTTGATTTTAGGTTAAGATTATCATAATACTCTACCACTACGTTGAATGGTGAAATCCTTTTTTGTAGGAACCTAATACTAATTAGGAACTGCTCTCCTTAGGAAATAGCTTCTAAGGGTCTTGTGAGCACATTGGTTTTCCTGAGAAGCCTCCCCACTGGTCCATGATTTCTATTTATAGGAAACATGTCGATTTCAAACCCTCATCCTGGGGGTGATACTGCCTTCTCTGGGCCTTCATTCTCTAGTGAATTACAGCAATGTCTTCTGCAAGTCTTCTGTCATGCTAGATGCTGAAGACAGTGCAGTCAACAAGGCAGAGTAGCCCTGCAGGAGGCTTGTAGTCTATTTAGAGAAAGACATTATACAAGTCACAACATGTGAAAGTGCTCTGAGGGCAGGATATCAGGGCCCTGGGAAGATCTGCTTGATTTTGATGGGAGAGTGGGCGTGAGGTTAAGGTTATTTGGAGGATTAATGAGTAACAAGTGGCAAGGCAGATGTAACAGGTGCTCTATAAGCAATGTTCTTCATGTCTCCTTGCTTGCTTTGTAATTCTAGGTCCAGTATGCGAATATTAAAAAGACTCTAAATCTAATGCTTTGCTAACTTTTAAAAATTGAATTATTTTCCCATTTGCTCATTTCCAAATTAAATGTTCATGATTTTATCCTGTGATAATTGTTAACCAACCCTTATCAGATAAATTGTAATAAGGGAATGTTAACTCATGTTAATTTGTGGAAATTTAATTTCGTGATCATTTCTTTTCTTATCTGTGAAATCTGGAATTTATCTGATTTGGAAACCTAGAAAATGCCTTAGTATGTACTTTAATGAAATGAGTAAAAAGTAGTAGCGGTGTGGGATCCTTCCATCGGGCAAGGGGCTGTGGGATAGCTCAGTGTTACAATACATGCTTAGCATGAGGGTACTTGGTTTCAATCCCAGTACCAGAAACACATGCATAAATCAAATAAAGGGACAGTAGTAAAATTGATTCACCTTGAGCCGGGCATGGGGTGCATACCTGTAATCCCAGCAGCTTGGAGAGTGAGACAGAAGGATCATGAGTTCGAAGTTCAGCAACATAGTGAGACCCTGAGCAACTCAGCAAGACCCTGTCTGTAAATAAAATATAAGAAAGGGCTAGGGATGTGGCTTAGTGGTTAAGCACCCTGGGTTCAATTCCTGGTACCAGGAAAAAAAAAAAATGAAGAAAAATTGATTCACCTTATTCCTGCCCAGACCTGGAGCATGAAGACAAACCAGCTCAAGACGGCTAGAGTTGCTAAAAGGAATTGAGATATAATGTTATTACAGGTGGCTTCAGATCACACTTTGCTTACTTTAAAAATTTCTTAATTGAGCAATATAATTAGATTCAAATCAGATTTCTTTCCCTCCTCTTTTCATCCCCCACAGGCAAAGACTGCCAAGCAGAAGCACGACGGGACAGTGGGCCTGCTCACATACCCAGTACTCCAGGCAGCTGACGTTCTCTCCTACAAGTAAGGAGAGAGGCCACCCCTGTTCTCATACATCACCATGATAAAAAAAAAAAAAAGTGTTTTAACCCATCTGGCAAAGGCTTGGTTCGTGGAGAAGGGGCATGCAGAAAGAGTTAGACACGTGAATAAGTTTATATCTATTCTCTAATAACAGATACTAAAATATGGAAGTATGCTTCAATGAGAAACTAAAAATACTTAGCGCTGACACTTAGTTAGCACTTACTGTATATTGGGAGCTTTTATAAATGCTTAATGTATACTCATCCTGATAACAACCTTGTAAAATTTGCACTATTATTTTTCATGTCTCACTGATGAGGCAACTGAGTGGTTGGCAGCATGCTGAGACAGGATTTGAGTGCCAAAAGTGTTGGGTCCGTGCCTCTTTACCTCAGTGCCATATATATTTCCTCACAAACAAACTTCAAGTTTTAAATGTTGATTTTTTTTTTAAGTAATCAACACTCTAAAGTAATGCCGACCAATAGGACTTGCTGTGAGCCTGGGAATGTTCTACATCTGCACTTTCTGAATCCAGAAACACCAGCCACATGTAGCTATTGAGCCCTTGAGATGTTGCTAGTGTGACATAGAAACTGAATTTAAAATTTTTCTTTAATCAACGTAAATAGCCACCTGTGGGTAGTGGCTACATATTTAACCGGAAGGTTGAGAGCAAAATATTTTGAACATGATGTATGAAACACCCTCACTTTTCTTGGACCTGTAATCCATCCAGTTGACTACTGCTGCCATTTATAGGCCTCAAAAATACACAACAAAGAATGCCCCTCTCTGTGCTCTCTGTTGTACCAGCCAGGACTTGGGATCTCATTTCTCCCCCGGCTCTTCCCCGCTTTCTCTCCATTAGCCTCTCTTGGCCGGCCCCCACCCCTTTGACTTTCTAGAAGCAAAGCCTCCCCGGCAAGTGCACTCCTGGCCTTTGCCTTGTTGCTGGGAAAGCATCAGGGACTGTTGTCTCATCCCTCTCCCCCTAAAGCCATGATTGTCCCCTAGGAGAACTAGAATTCTTTTGCCTGTGAACCTGATGATAGCATACAGATGACAGTATCCTCCTCACTGAAGGGCTTCAAAGCCCTTGGACAATTACGATGGAAACAGCCCAAAGAATAGTTGCCTAACTCCACAAACAGGCAACGTCCATGAGAGCAAGCAACCTGTCTTTAATTATGATCAAAACTTGCACATGGGATTATGTGTCTGCTTGTTGTATCAACTTAAATGCTAGACTCTTGATATCTTGGGAAGCCAATGATATTTTAAAGGAAGCAGAATGAAGTCTAATTATATGGTCATAAAATATACTGGAGGGCTGGGGCTGTAGCTCAGTGACAGAGCACTTGCCTAGCATGCATCAAAATAAATACATAAATGATTTTTTWAAATTAATATAAAATACACTGCAATACACATTATGTGAATGTGGGCTCTTTCAAAAATATCTTGCTGTATTTCACTCACCCTTCCTGTGACAATGTGGGATGACACAGTGCCTACATGATGAGATGGAAGTAAACAGTAAGCACTAAGCACTTGCACACCATGGCTGTCGGTTTTGCAACTTGAGATTTGACAGCAAAATTAACACATTTTTTTTCCTTCTACATGATTTCTCAGAGGATTCACTGGTCCTATAAATCTTAGGAACCTTGCATATGATTTCTTTTCCTTTCCTTTAGCTGAAAACTGTCCCACATTTTCATTTAGAGGAAGCACTTTGCAGCTTCTCTTAGACATGTGTGAATTGCCAGCATGACTGACCTTGTGTCAGGGCCATTATTAAGTAAGATATGAGTTACTTGGGCACAAGCCCCCAACACTGCAGCTGTCATCTGGTGACCATGGTAGCTACCAGGTGATTCATGGGCTGGTTGCATATACAACATGGATATGCTGGACCAAAGGATGATTCACATCCCAAGCAGGATGAATGGGGGCAGGAAATGGTGAGAGATTTTATCATACTGCTTAGAATGTCATGCCCATTAAAACTTATGAATCGATTATTTCTGGAATTTTTGGAATATTTTTGGACCACAGTTAACCCCAACAAACTACAACTGCAGAAATTAAAAGTTTGGATAAGGGGGAAATACTGTATGTTTTTCTCAATTTCCCAAAATACAATTGGAAGAATCGTGAAATATTCCAGTTCTCTTATCCATAAGTGGATTCATGGATATACCTGTGGGGGTTATTGAGCAAATTATGTACGAATTGATATCACCTGGTATTTTAAGATATAAGAGGAACTTCTAAAAAAGACTGACATTGGCAAAAATAGCCTCTTAAGATCTCAAAACTTGTTTTATGTGCTGTCCTTTTTAAAGCCAGGCTTGAGGCTGTGAATGCCCTTTTATCTCATGCAAAACTGTAAGTATTTCAGACATGGACGGTAAACCTTGAAAGTCTCTGATGACTTCTTGTCTGTCTTACTTTCTTCAACATCAGCAGGATTCTCACATAAAAATACTTGACCCCAAGGATAGGCATTTATTTTTCAGTCTATTATCCCCGAGCCTGCTCTCTGTAGCAAAGAAATTCCCATGCAATACATATCCCTCCTTTAATGTTTGCTGGTCTATTTGGTGGTTAGAACTTGTCTTAAGGAAAGCATGAGGTGCCTCTCTCTTGACTACCTTCTAAAAGGAGGATAATAGTGGAGGGATTCTTATCTATCCTCATCAACATTCTGGCATTTTAGTTACAGATTGTTCACATAGATAGAGATGTTTTTCTGTACAACTAGATAATTATCTGTGTTCAAGATGAGTGCCTACTACCTTAGCCTTCCAGCTATCTGCCAGATCTGGTGCCATAATTAGATAATAGACATGGGCAGACATCTGCCTGCTCCTATTCTTAGGAAGAACAGCCCAACATTTGCCTCCCTGGTTTCAGGTTAGACAACCTGCACTCGTGGGGTTATTGTTTATTTGTTTTTGTTTTGTTTCAGATATTTCTGGATTTTGGAAAAGGTCATAGCCAGAATGTCTATGAATATTTACATTATAAATATAGACAGATAGTTTGGTAGGTTGAAGGATTGATAAAACATTTGTTTTGTTTTGTTTTCTGCCAGTAAATCTATGTGGCCTCTTCATAAACCGTTGCTATAAGTTAAATATAGATTTAATGTTTGTTGTTATCAAAATCAGCTTAGAACATAAGTGGTGCTGTGGGCTGGAGGACAAACACAAGAGAAAGAAAAATCTTCCAGATAGGTTAATAAAAGATTTACATAATGTTTTGGTGGAACTTGGTAAGGAACCCAAGAATGGAGAACTGAGACTGTCTTTAATTTGAAAACATAATATCAGCAGCCATTTGAAGGAAGATAAAATACTCAAAAATAGCAAGTATTCATAATTTTTATTTTGTACCCTGCATTATTTATCTGAATTCCTAATTTCAATAGACTGGCTATATATTAAGTATATATTTCTTTCTCTGTTTCTCTTCATATATGTGTCTTTCCCCCTCAGATACACACATGTAATTTTTATTCAAATTCAGCGACTATTTGGTAAGTCACTAATTCAGAAAAAGAAACTGTACATGGCCTTGAGAGAGAGAGAAGGAAGGATTGACATGTGTCCATCATTGTTTGCCAGATATTRTAATAGCCGTGACACACATTATCTATTCAGATTCTCACAGCAGCTCTGTAGGATAGATGGGTGATAGTATTCCCATTTTACAGATAAAGAAATTAACTTTCAGGGAAGACTTGTTATGTCTACTCACACTGGAGAACAATTGACTGTCTAATAGGTCATCTTTCTCAACAATTTGAACTGAAGCTGGGCACAGTGGTGCACTTTCAGAGCCTTGGGAGGCTGAAAAGGATCACAGGTTCAAGGCTGGCCTCAGCCACTTAGCAAGGCCCTAGGCAATTTAGCAAGACGCTGTCTCTAAATAAGTAAATAAATAGATAGGATGGGGGAATATAGTTCAGTGGTAAAGTGCCCCTGAGTTCAATCCCAATACAATAAATAAATAAATAAATAAAYAAACAAACAAACAAACAAACTGAGAAACATGAGAGGAGGATAAGAAGATAGTGAAAGCAAGAGCTGATATGAGGGAACAGGGACCTTAAGAAATGGAGTGGGCTGGGTTGTAGCTGAGTGGTAGAGCATTTGCCTAGCATTCATGAAGCCCTGGGTTCAATCCCCAGCACAGGAAAAAGAACTGAGTAAGAAGAAACCAAGCCATTAGTCATCTTGCTATCATGTGACAAAAGACCTGAGGTAAGTCGACTTAAAGGAGGAAAGGTCTATTATAGTTTCAGAGGTTTCAGTACATGGTCCCTTGACCGTCACTTTGAACCTGTGGTGAAGCACAACATTATGGTGGGAAGCATGTGGCGAGGCCAGCTAGAAAGCAAAACAGACTCAGGAAGGAGCCAGTGGCCCGCTATTCCTTTCAAGGGCATCCTCCAGTGAGTTCACTTCCTTCCACTAAGTTTCACCTCCTGAAGGTTCCACCACCTCCCAGTGGGGAAGTGGACGTATGAAATCAACACAAACCAAACCAAAACCAAAAAGTAGGGAGAGTAAAACGGACAATACCTCAGTAAGTCGAGTCAGAGAAAAGTTTTCATAATGTATGAGGGTCAGACTTCTGCCCTTGATAACCTTTCTGAGAGCTTGTCTTAAAAGTTTAGAGTTCCTAAAACTCCTTTGAAGACTTCCAGTTCTTAAACTGCTTCCTTTCTCTGTGAGACCAGGCTATCCTGGGTTTTTATGAGATCCTGCAAGCAGCTGCCTGATCCTCATTTCTGCAGACTGCCAATACCCCCATATTCATCCACAACTCTCTGAACAATCATTTCTTCTCTTTCTCTTTCTTCTTTCTAGCCATCAGGCAAGTGCTACACTAAACCAAAACCCTAGGAAGGCAATCTGAAATAGGTTCTAGGCTGCTGGCCCTTAAAAATAGGGAGACAGCATAGAAGGAAGAGAGCTGAGCTAAGATGTCAGCAGACAATTATACTCTCCAAAAACAGAGTGGGAAGCTTTTTGTACATTTTAAGGACAGAATAAATTTCATATAATTTATCCTTAAATAACTGATTAAAATACAGAAAATGAGTTACAGATGCACAGCTAGGATGAACTTTTCAGAGGCGATTTCACTGGTCTAATTTGGACCATGATGAAGAGGAAGGAGAAGCAGCCAAATGTAAGATTTTTTTGGTTTGGGGGTGTGGCACTAGGATTGAACTCCGAAGCACTTTACCACTGAGCTACATCTCCAGCCATTTTTACTTTTTTTTTTTTTTTCGAAACAGAGTCTCACTAAGTTGCTGGGGCTAGCCTTCAACTTGTCATCCTCCTGCATTAGCCTCCCAATTTTCTGGGATTACAGGTGTGCACCCTGGTGCCCCACCAAATGCAGGAGATTTTTAGGAGGTCAGAGTGAAAGGATGTGCAGGATGTGTCCTGGACTGGATGTGCAGGAGTGTGGGCTGTCAGGGGTGACCACACATTTCTTAAGTAACTAGATTGATGGTGTTGCAATGAGAATACTGAAAGAGGACTAACCGGAAAAAATGTGTAGCTTTATTCAATATCTATCCTCCTGGAGATGGTAACCACTTTATTATATCTCTCACAGTACCCAGCACTGGACCTTTCACATTGTGGGTCTTCTAAATCATTGATGAATTAGAGTTATTATAGCACATCCAACAATTGCCCAGTGATGGGGGATCAGTCCTTTATGATAGGAAAGACAACACCAAACCCCTGTTCCGTCAGGCTGGGTAAAGGCAGCAGCATTGAAAATTCACAAACACTAGCCAAGAAAGTAGGAGGGAGGGGGGGACGACAAGAGAACAAATCTCTGCTAGCAGATATATGTAAGCAATGATTATTCATCTGGACACTAATTCTGCCAGGGGGGTGGGGTGGATCCCAAGTAAATGAAGATGCAATAAGGAACTAAGCAAAAGAAAAATGGTTTAGTCACCAAAGAAGAAGATCAGACGCATTATTATGTGACAGAAGTTATAACAATCAAAATTATGAAAGACTTTTGTTTTATGTTGTGTCTAAGAAAGCACAGTCAGGGTAAGGGAAAAAAAAAGAAAATGGAGAAAAAGAAAAAGAGTAGGCACATTAATATGGATATCATTAAGCTGGGTATAAATTTTAAAAGAACAGCACTAAATTATTTGAAGTGAAAGGAAGAGTATGAGGAGAGAGGTTAAAAACGTGAAAAGAATAAGCCCCATAAGTGAGTAGAATCAAAGACAGGCTGAATTAATGTGAAGTGTAAACTCAATGGATAAGAAGTAAAGGCCAAGATAAATTATAGGAGGTGAAAGGAAAAGCAGGAGCAGGAGGAGGAGAGACCAGAAACAAACAAACGAAAGTCAGATGCAAAAGCCACGTGGCGCAATGGGACCAGGTGAAAAAAATTAAAATTTTTGTATTCCTTTTTTTAAAAAAAAAAATCAAAACCTCGCCAAATTGTAAGAAAAGAGGCAGGGATCCGACATAAGGCAAGACGCACACAGCGTCATTATGAAAACTAAATGTGTTTTCTGTTTAGTTTGGTTGCTTGGTGAATCTGGAACCATTTTGGCATGTGGAAATATTCATTCTGATGTGCTTAAAGTGTATTGATTATGGTAATTGTTTTTTCTGTGTTAGTTGCAGTCCATTCTGATTTCCTATGGGCTACTGTAATTGCTTTTTAACCTGCTCTGCTGGCTAATTTGGTTTGGGGGAGTCAAAGTGACCTCTGCACGTCAGCCTCACTCTAATTACCAGACAGGAGCAACCAGGTCCAAAGAAGGGAAATTCTCAAAGGTGAGGCATGAATGGGTTGCACCCAGGGCCTGCATATTTTTTTTTTTTTAACCACTGAGCCAGTGAGGCATGAATGGGTTGCACCCAGGGCCTGCATATTTTTTTTTTTTTTTAACCACTGAGCCAGTGGCTTTCTGCTCCACGCTGTGTGGAAGAGAACAATGGACATGACCCTCACAGTCCTTTAGTAGAATTTCCTACTTTTATTTACTGACTTAAGAACAGAAAGCACTTCCTGATTCATCTTCTTTGTCCCTGAAGTTTACCTTTCCATTCATTGCTCTGTCTCTGCTGTTTTCTTTAAATTAAAAGAGTTCTCAGAATTCTATTAGCATACTGTTTGTATTCGGGGACCACCTGATAGGTGAAATGTCCGTTTCGGGTATGTTTTCTACCATTATCAGGATTGCCACTCAGGTCTCTGAGCATCTCTGGGACTATGTGTTTGTGGTAGGAGTCAGCTACCAAAAAAGGAAATGATCTCTTTGAAAAATGTCACAGTGCACCTCACATCAAGGACCCTTCTAAGTATCTTTCTTGTGCCATTTTGTCCTTCATTATGTCAACTCTTAATACGGCATATCGCCAGCAAGGGTTACTGAGCCCTTAGCATCAAGCACTATGTTTGTTATCCTTGAAACCACCCAATGAGATAAGCAGCATTATGATCCCCACTTACAGAGACATTGAAAGCTTGGAAAGGGTAAGAAACTTGCCCAAGATAACTGACTGCTTCTCCCAGGGGGTAATATTAAACTTGCTTGAAAGGAACTAGCTGTGTAGCTGGGCGTAGTGGTACATGCTGTAATCCCAGCAGCTCAGGAGGCTGAGACAGAAGGATCACAAGTTCATAAGCCAGCCTAAGTAATTTAGCAAAGCCCTGAGCAACTTAGCAAGACCTTGTCTCAAAATAAAAATATAAATAAACTGGCTGGGGATGTAGCTCAGTGGTTAAGCACTGCTGGGGCTCAATTTCTAGTACCCAAAAAGAAAAGAAACTATGGCACTTTATTTATTATACTTGTATTATCAAATATCAAATATAAACTTACCAATCAAGATATGAAATACTAACATCACCTATCTCCATCCACAGTAACACTTCAGTACAGTTTTCCCCACTAGATCTTCTCTGAAATGGTTAATTCTTCTTGATGAACCTCATCATGATCTGACCCTACAAATTTTGTATGTGTAATTAAAATCATTATAAATAGATTCTCCACATTCTGATAYTTTTGGTTTCACGTCTTTGTTTTTTAATAAAATATCATAGATAAAATTCAGGCCTCCTGTGTTCCTTTCCTCAGACCCATCTCCTTCTCTCTTTCTCTAGAAGCAGCTATGGTCATGAATTTGGGGAGACCCCTCCAGTGTGTTTTCGTACTTATCACTCCAGATCTATGCCCCTATAAGCAATGTGTAGTATTTTCCTGTGTAATTTTATTATTTACGTAAATGCCAATGTGTACCCTAGGTGTTTTCTGAAATTTGCTTCCTTCATTCAGCATTGTTTTTGAGATTTGTTATGGTTTGGATATGAGTTATCTCCCCAAAGCTGCTGTGTTGATGCAAGAATTCTCAGAGGTGGGAAGATTAGACAATGAGAGCTGTAACTCAATCCGACCATGCTAGTATAAAAGGACTAACTTGGTGGTAACTGTAGGCAGGTTGGTTGTGACTGGAGGCCAGAGGTCCCGGGGGGCGTGCCTTGGAAGGGTTCATCTACTCTGTGGTTCCTTACCCTTTCTCTGCCTCCTGCCACCATGAATGGAGCAGCTCCTCCACCATGGCCTTCCACCATGATGTTGTGAAACCTCTGAAACCGTGAGCCATAAGATACTTTTTCTCCTCTAAGTTGTTCAAGTCAGGTATTTTCAGCAACAAGAAGCTGAAAAACGCAAGGCCTATCTATTATTGTACCTGGAGATGTTGTTTATTTACATTCCTTCCAGCATCTTAATTCTCCTGTGATTGCAATTGACTTGAAAATGAAGTAGTGTGTTCCAAAAAAATCTTGAATCACTCCCTGTGTGACAGGGAGGGAAAACACTTGCCTGAGAGAGAGCTTTCTGCCATATCTGATTTGAAGATGGGGAGGAGTGTCTTTCAAGTGCAAGCCACAGCTCTGAGTAAAAAGCATCTGGTCAGGCTCGGGTTATATGTGCTGACTGAGTGAGGGAATGAGGAGGGGTTTTAGAATACAATTATGTGTAACGCATATGCTATTGAGGATCCCGTGCCTCCCTCCCAGCGAGATCCTGTCACACTGGTGTTGATGGCTGTATTCCTCTGCTACGGAAGAAACTGAACCAGAGTAGACAAACATCTCTCCAGCATTTGTCTGATACATGGATAAAGACTTGGGTCTCAACGTTCCCTCTGTAGTTTGTGAACATTTGTTGAACACCAACAATGAAATAGACACAGGAAATGCAGCTGCTTGCAATATCAATTCCATCTAAGAAGAAGCCTTGCTGAGTTTTTCCTGTCTTTTATTAAAGGTCCACACACGTTCCTGTCGGGGAGGACCAAATCCAGCACATGGAACTAGTTCAGGACCTAGCACAAGGTTTCAACAAGAAGTATGGGGAGTTCTTTCCAGTGCCCAAATCCATCCTCAGTAAGTAACAAACACATGATTGTTAAATCCGGGCATATTTTGAAGTGAAAACTGGATAATAGATGGAGGCTGGGAACTGTCTGAGGACAAAACTTGGCTTTCTCCTAGACAAACTTCAGGATTTGGAACTCGAATCTTCATTGTTTCTGTCATGCAGGACTAGCACGTCACACTAGATTATTGAAAAAGATAACTAAAATGTTTGAGAAGTATGGAAGAAACTGCAAACTAAAAATAATGGTTTTAATTTGTAAAGTACTATATAATTTACCTAATAGATATATTTAAAATAACAAACTTTATTGGATAGGACAGATATCTTCACCTCTTTTATGGGTAAAGAAACAAAGGTTTGGCAAGGCTCACTTTGTGTCCAAGTCACATGTCTAGTTGTGGCAGAGTTGGGTCCTATGCTGAGCATTTGTAAGCCCAAAGCCTGCTTACCTTGCCTTCCTGAATACTCACTCAGTCTACATCAAATAAGAGGGAATCTGTAATCCTCATATTCTGTCTTCTTAAGTGAACCTCGGAGATGGAATGTACAATCCACCTGCTGGGTCTCAGAGATCAGCCTCAGCCTCCATTGTTATGTTAGTCTGGAACCTTCTTGATGCTGTAAGTCTACCAGCATTCTGATAGACTTGTAAATTTTGTGGCAGGGGCAGAGATCATGGAACCTAAGCACTGTTCATGTTTATTAAGCTGACAGTATTTAAAGGAGTATAATATGATCCTAGATTCAACTCAGAGACATAAGTCAGGTATAAATTTCTAGGTGATTTCAAAAATTCACACAAATAAATTCAAGAAATCCCATGCATTGAAGTCAGACTTCTTTTAACAATCAGATTTTAATGTATAATGGTGTATTAAGAATTATAATGCAAATAAATAAGTAAATAAGATTTTAATATATGACCTATTATTATTTTACCTCTTTCAATTTTATATGCTTCTGTAATAGCCATAAAATAGGCAACTATTAATAACACTGGTTTATGAAGCACAGCTTAACATCTTGATTCTATCAGAGCAATAAACAAGCCATTTCTCGTGTGTATGTGTGTGTGTGTATAATCCTGGGTAAAGAAATGGAAGGATTACTGCAGATTGTTAAAACTGGTTGGGGAGTAGAAACGGCAATGGTTGCAGGGGGTAAATAAATGATTACTAATAGGGAAGAGCAGAGAGGAGAAGAAACAATACTTTTTTAAAAGTTATACACAGCAAAAGCAGTATGATTGGCATAATTCCATCTGGGTAAGAGTATACATTTTAGGTGGACAAATGCATATAAAGATCCTGAAAGTATGGAGAAAATGTTAACAGTTTTACATAATTCAGATAATCTTTACTTTCATACTGACATAAATTGCTGGACTTTTTCACAATGAACATTTGCTATTTTTATAACCAGACAGGTAAAAAAGTCATTGGTATTCTTGATATCTTCCAGATCCCGGCAGTGAGTCTTGCTGATTTATTTGTGTTTTTGTTTTTGTTTTTGTTTTTTTGGCATGTGTGTTGGTGTTTTGACCTAGCATCCATGAAGAAGGTAAAATCCCTCCGTGACCCTTCTTCCAAAATGTCAAAATCTGACCCTGACAAACTGGCCACCATCCGAATAACAGACAGCCCAGAGGAGATAGTGCAGAAATTCCGCAAGGCTGTCACAGACTTCACCTCAGAGGTCACCTACGAGCCTGCCAGCCGAGAGGGCGTCTCCAACATGGTCTCTATCCACGCTGCGGTGACAGGGCTCACCACAGAGGAGGTGGTCCGCCGCAGCACAGGCATCGACACTGCCCGCTACAAACTGGTGGTGGCAGATGCTGTGATTGAGAAATTTGCTCCAATTAAAAATGAAATTGAAAAACTGAAGATGGACAAGGCATATTTAGAGAAGGTTTTACAAGCWGGGTCAGCAAAAGCCAAAGAATTAGCCTATCCTGTCCTCCAGGAGGTGAAGAAATTGGTAGGAATTCTATAGGAAGTTTGAACCAACCACAAAAGGCTTTTGTATCTTACAGTCTGTGCACTTCAACAAAGGCAGCTTTCTTTCAAACAAAAATAATTAATATAAATTATAGTTTGGGACATTTAATTTGATCTAGCTGATTATTGTCTTCATTTGATGACAATGCTTTGTAGCCCTCAAATACAGCAATGTTCCAAATCCCATCAACAAAATGCTGTGATCAGAAAAACAAAAACAGCAAATCGTGAAAGAAGGTATAGCAGTCTGAATCCCCAGCTATTTGAAGCACACTCCTTGGACTGAAATATCTGAACAAATGTGATTGAGGTGAGCAATAACTTGGGAAATGAGATGATTTGTGCTCTTGATATTTACTGAAACAAGTGTTCATCCCAACCCTTTTAAAAAGCAGCACACAAAGGCCTTAGATTTATAATCCTTCAGATGCCAATTGATACAGTTTGTATACAGGGTCTCATAAAAGTGGGTTGATTATTATTATTCATCTTTTTAATTTTTTTCTTTTTCACTACTGTACTGGGCATCGAACCCCAGGCCTCCCACATGCCAGGCAAGTGCTCTACTTCTGAGCTACACTCCCAGCTCCTGAATTAAGTTATTAATAAGTCCCCTCTTTTTTTTGTTTTTGCATTCCTTGGAATTAGACTCATCAACCCCCTATGAAATGTATAGGAAAGGAATTGCCATTTTACACATGAGGAAAATGAGGCCCAGAGAATACAATAAACTCATAACAGTATTACTCAGAAAGAAGCAAATCCAAGAGTAAAACCTTTTATAAATTTTAAAATAAAACAGTAAAACCTTTGCTCTTTCTAAGATTAGGGTTTTTTTTTCATCTGCACAAAGCCTTGAAAGGCAGCATTTTTGCATCTTCAAACATTCTGATTTTGAAGAACACAAATTAAAAGATGCTTTTACCTTCAGCCTAGCTCTATCCTTACAGCTTATGTGGGTCTTCTGTTGGCAGCATAGAGTTGGTCTGTTTTTTATCTTTTCAGCCACTTCTTGTCTTTTGATTAGAAAATTTAATCCATCTATATTCTAGGTGTGTTTTTTTTTGTTTTGTTTTGTTTTGTTTTGTTTTTGGTGGTGGTGGTTCTGAGGGCTGAACCCAGGGCCTTGTGCATGTGAAGCAAGCACTCTACCAACTGAGCTATATATGCCCAGCCTCAAGGTGATTTTTGATAAAGAACTACAGGAAATTATCAAATCACAAAGATAAATAAGGAAAGAGGAAGAAAGAAGCTACAAAATAACCAGAAAACTGATGTTGTTTATATCAACCAACAGCTGCCTAAGTCTGGATTCAGCCAATCTTGGCCATGTTTCCCCCACAAAATTGCAAACGCAGGTTTCAGGTTCTGTCTTCTGTGCTTATTCCAGGGATTTCAAAGTATATTCTGCCAGACTCCAATAGTGGTGAGACCTGACATGTCAGATAACCCGCTGAGGAGAAGCTTCCCATTTCACCTCTACCTCAGTCTAAGTGATTCCAAATCACCCTAACACCTGGTTTCTCTACACTTCCATTTCCTACACCTGACATTGAAAGCAGTAATCCTGATCACACACCAGGACCTGATGAGATTGATTCTGTGATGGAAATTTCTTGGGAAGTTTTTTTGCCATTACTATTTATACCTATATGCCTAGAATGTTGGACAAATAATTTTTTTTAATTTTACTTATAGTAGAGCTGTCCTTTCAGCAGAACAGATATAAATCCACAAAATGGTATCCTAGAGCCTAAATTAAAAGAAGCTTATGGGCTAGAGTTGTAGCTCAGCAGCAGAGCACTTGCCTACCATGTGGGAAGCCCTGAGTTTGATCCTCAGCACCACATAAAAATAATTAAGTAAGGGCTGGGGATATAGCTCAGCTCATAGAGTGCTTGCCTCGCATGCACAAGGCCCTGGGTTCAATCCCCAGCCTCATACACACACACACAAAAAAAAAAATGCATACAAAAAATTATGCATTCAAAATAAATAAGTAAAATAAAGGTATTGTGTTCAACCACAACTGGAAAAATAAATATTAAAAACAACAATGAAACACTTTTGAGGATTCTTAGAGCTAGCCTGGCTCATGGGAAAAGAAAACATGTTACCTTTGGATCTTTTCTTGGAATGGAATATCTACAGTCCTAGATCATCTTTGGGTATATATATCTTCCAAGTCATACTTACTCTCTTTTCCCCCCCTTTCAAAGGAAACCTATTCTAAATACTGGAAAATRTCAAAATAAAGATGAATTTATCAAACTAGTTGTTTATCTTGTCTGTGTGGTTTCTGCCTTCTTACAATATTTTTCTCCAAAGAAATGAAGGCCCTATGGAAAATAATCTTAGGGAAGGAAAACTAGACAACATGTGATAACTTCCAAGGAGCAAAATCTGCAGAGGTGTGGTTGAACTTATGTGTATCCCATTGTTATTCTTTGAAAATAACCCTAGTGCTTAAGTTGAGAATTAGCCCACAATGATTAAAAACCTTGGTTAATGTGTTAGGGTTCTGCAGAGAAACATAATCAGTAAGTTATATGTACATGTACATGAGGGGATTAACTGCAGGAATTGGCTCACCTGATTATGGAGGCTGAGAAGTCCCATAATATGATATCTATAAGCTGGGGACTCAGGAAAACTAGTGGTGTCATTCAGTCCAGATCCACAGGCCAGAGAATCAGGGGAGGTGATGGTGTAACTTCCAGTCTGAGGTCCAACACCTGAGAATCTCGTGTAAATCCCAGAGTCTGAAGTCTCAAGAACCAAGAACTCTTATGTCCCAGGACAAGAGAAGGTAGATATCTCTGCTTAAGAAAAGAGCAAATTGACTCTTCCTCCATCTTTCTGTTCTATTTGGATGGTCCCTCTATGGATTAGATATTGTCTACCTACATTGGTGAGGGCAGATCTTTACTTAGTCTACTGATTTGAATCCAAGTCTTTTCTGCATAGTCTTTTTAATAGAGATGAAGAATCACAGGGAAATATATTATCATGATTCATTACAAAAGGGGATTTTCATTATTATTTTCTATGTTTTATAGACAGCTGAAATGGTGCAAAATATGTCAGATGGTAGTATAATGGTCAGTAGCTTATGCGCTGTAGCTCCACCTACTGACAAACCTTACCACAAACCCGCTGGCTCCAACTAGGTACTCAGAACATTGTCGGTATTATCTTGCTCTTTGCAGGTTCTTCATAAACATTTATCAAAATAATGAAGATGGGTTGGAAATTTCTAATAAAATGTGATATTTCTTGCTCCCAGAAACCCTCCTGACACACATTATAAAGATGATTATCATAAAACAACTAACACTGTTGGGTTCTGGTGATGTATTAGACACAGTATTAAATGTCATATAACAGTGTATAGTAGTCAGTTTTCCACCACTATAACAAATACCGGTGATAATAAACTTATACAGAGAAAAGCCTTATTTTGGCTTACAGTTTTAGAGGTTTAGTCCATAATTAATTGGCTCCATTGCTTTTGTTCCTGTCTCAGGATAACTCATCATATTGGGGAATACATGGTGGAGTAAAGTTGCTCACTTCATGGTGAGCTAAAGAGAAAAAAAACAGGAGCTGAGACCCACTGTTCTTTCCAAGATACAACCTTGATGACCAGAAGACTGCACAGTAGCCTCACTTCTTAAAGTTTCCTCCACCTCCAAGTAGCACCATGTTGGAGACCATGCCTTTACCACGAGGGTCTTTAGAGGACACTTAGGATTCAAACTATAGCATAGTGTTTCTCTAAGAGAGGTCCCAGACCAGCGACATGAGAATCATTCTGAGATCTCATCAGGAATGTCAATACTCTGGCTCTACTACAGACCTACCTGGGRTATGAACTCTGAATTTTTTTACATTAACAGCCTTCCAGGTGGTCCTGATACCTGCTAAACTTTGAGAACCACCACTTCATATGAATTCTCTCATTTAATCCTCATAGCTAATAATATAGTACCACGATATTACCAACCATCCAATCATCCATGACTAAGGTTGAACCTGAAGAGCAGGAGGTTGAGAAACTTGCCCAACRTAGTTCAGCTTCTATGAAGTACAATCAGGCTCAAACTCAGCTTATAAGGGGTGGACTCAGGATCTGGAGCTCACTAGCCACAGTGGCCTCCACACAATGTCTTCTGTATGTATGGAAGTAATGTACATGGTGATGGCTTTATTTCTGGCAAAGTCCCAAGGAATTGCAGGACATCACATAGCAAAAGGCAGGGGGTGGGAGGGTCTCTTCTGGGTCTCTTTTTATAAAGCCACCAATATCAGTCAAGGGGGGTTCCACCCTGATGACCTTATCTAAACCTAATTACCTCTCAAAGGCCTATAAATACTATTGTCCAATTAGGTTTCCACCTTCTTGATACCTCACAATTGAGACTAGACTTCAAGAGGTGTTTCTAAAGGGGCAAACCATATTCAAACCACAGCAAAATGTCACATTCAGTAGTCCTCAGATAAATAAAACAGTTAATACTTGATGTCATTGTGTTGGCTCTATTGAAAGCAAACTTTATTTTTTTTAACATAAGCTTCCCATTCTTATCCACATATGCACATAATAAGTCAAGACTATGCTTGTCACTTTCTAAAAGTGTTTCTGAAAAGTAGATGATCTGATTCGACTTAGAATAGTGTTCTGATTTTACAGATTTCCTTTTTTTGAGTAATATTTAAACATGCACACTCTTCCTGGGAGTACAGCTGTGTCCCGTTTCCTGTGTGTGAATGCAGAGATGAAGAAGTGCTGTGTACATGGCCCTTACCACCAGGTCTCCCCTACCAACATGTCCCACGGGGAAGCCCACTGGAAGCAATTGTCAGTTCAAATAAATGGGTTATCTAAGAGTTCCCTGAGTTTGCAAAAGCCTCCACCCAAAAGAGTGGGTTCTGTGATGATTTACACAACAAACAACAACATGGCATGGCTTATCCAGATTGACCCAGGAGACAACCCTTGGAAAGAAAAATTCCCTCCATGAACTAGGCAACCAGGGAGCAAGAAATGTCTAGTTCCTCAGCAGGTATCACCAGAAAAAAAAAAATTCTTGCCCTAGAAGAGGAGGTGAGTACTCAGGAAAATGCAGGGTGATGGAGTGGTTTTGTGATGGTTTTCTCTCCCGGGCCACTCACATAAAAATTAACAAATAGAGTTTCTGAGGTTGCCAGCTCTTCAGTGAATAATTATTATTCTCTCACTGTTTTCTTACCCTCCTTTTCTCCTTGCTAATTTCTATTTCTCGCCTGCATCCCGCACAGGCGGTGGAAATGGAGTTCCCCTCGGTGGAATGGGCTGGCTGAGAAATAAAAGCTAAGAAAAATAGAAGGACGAAA